GTTGAGCAGCTGGTGGGTTCAAACCATCCACCTCTTGGTTAGCAGCCAAGTGTTCAACTGTTGGGCCATCGGCTCTTTGAAATATGACACTAGGAAGTATTAGATCATATTTGGGATAATGTAAATTCTGACAAACAAGGAGCGTTTGGAAAACCATTACTCAAATTAGAAGCAAAATGATGGAGCATAACCTAAGGAGAAAAATAAGCGAGGCCTATCTAGGACCTGTGGGAATATGAGTTGAGCCAAGGGGGCAAGGAAATAACATTGACACCAGAAGGGGGGTCCAGGAACGGGAGTTTGCCTTCATCTTACAATACAAAAGCGGGAGTTAAGTGAAGCAAACTGTCCTCAACCTGTTGGAGCATTCATAATTACTCCATTCTCCGTAGGTAGAGGTTGGTGAGTGCTATGGTTTCCCTAAGCAGCCCCAGTGGCATAATGGTTAAGCACTCGGCAGCTAACCAAAAGGTTGACGGTTCAAACCCACCAGATGCTCCACGGGAGAAAAACCTGATGATCTGCTTCCATAAATATTATAGCAAAAAAAAACCCCTGCGAAGCAGTTCTACTCTGTCACATGGAGTCGCTATGAATCGAAAATCGACTCGACAGCACCTGACAACAACTGTGGTCCCCCTACCCCAAGTGTGGTCCCCAGAAAGCAGCATCTCTGCGGAGCATGTTAGAAACTCAGAATCTCAGGCCCCACATCAGACCTACTAAGTCTAATCTGCATTACAACAATATCCCCAGGTGGGTTTTTTTGCACACTAAATTTGAGAAGCGCTAGTCGACCCCACCACCTTGCTCCAGTGGGATAGTACGATGAAAATAAGTCCCAGACCAAATTTTGTCAGACACTGAAATGTTTGTTAGCAAGCAAGCATTCATTCAACCAATATTTAACAAGCTCTTACTATGTGTCAGGTAGTATTCCAGGCACTTGAGAAGCTATTGTTGCTTGATAAATAACCTCTAAATGCAATGACTTAAAGCATCCAACATTTATTTTCTCACAGTTACGGGGGCCAGGAATCTGGGAACAGCTTAGCTGAATGGTTCTGGCTCAGGGTCTCTCATGACATTGCAAGTCATGATGTTGGCTGGGGCTGCATTCATCTGAAAGCTTGAGTAGGGCTGGAGGATCTCATTCCAACATGGCACCCTCACATAGCTATTGGCAGCAGGCCTCAGATCTCGCCACTTGAGCCTCTCCATAGGACTGCTTGAAGTCTCCTCATGACACAGCGGCTGAGGCCTGGTTATCACTATGAAGTGGGGAGTAAGAATTCCTACTTTGAAGGGATGTTGTGATAATTAAAAGAGATAAAGTATATAAAGGAGAGTGGCTCAGGACGGGCTTGGAAACATGCTCACACTCATAGTTTTTCTGTCTTGTGCCACAACATGTTCTGTTCCTTGCTAGTCTTCCTCTCTCTGGACACGGCACAGACCTCAAACTCATCAGGCAGCCCTTGCCGTGTTTTCATTGAGGGAGGGTGTCCAGATGTCTGCGGGGCCACGAGTTTGTGCCTGCAGTGCCTGCAGTGGCTGTCAGGTATCCAAGTGTTTACGTAAGGGAGATGCCTTCACCTGCCCAGGTGAAGGATTGGTTGGATTTGCTAGCACAGGGCTTCTCGAAATTTGCTGTGTACACCTATCGCTCAGGGATCTTGTTAAAATGCAGATTCTGGTTAAGTCGTTGTGGGGTGGGGCCTGAGATTCTGCACGGCTAACAAGCTCCCACGTGGTGCCGAAGCTGCTGGTCCGAGGTACCCACGCTTTGAGAAGCAAGTTGCTAAAGGACTAGAAAAGATGGTAGGGAATTATATGAGATTCTTTCAGTTTTTTTGTTTTTTTTTTTCCCAGCCTGTGGCTTATTCTTAGAGGATCATTTGTTTAAAATTAGCAACACCCAGGGAATGATTTCCATTGTGGTTTTTAACTATTTTTATTGAAGCCAGCCTCTACAATGGTTATGAAGGCTGGAAAAAGACTATGGTGTCGAAAAGTTCAGATACCCCCGATCATTCATTCATTCATTTAACAAGTACTTGTAGAATGCCTTGTGGATGCCTGGCACTGAGCTATCCCAGGGGTCGGCAAACTACAACCAGCAGGCCAAATCAGGCCCGTGACTTGTTTTTGTAAATAAAGTTTTATTGGAACACAGCCATGAGCATTCCTTTACGTGTCGTTTATGGCTGTTTTTGCACCACAATGGCAGAGTTAAGTAGTTGCCACAGAGACTTTGTGGACCACAGAGCTGAAAATATGTACTGTCTGGTCCTTTACAGAGAATGTATGCCAACCCCTGAGCTAAAGGCCAAGAATATATTCAGTGAACAAAGGAAACAAGGCCCCTGACTCGAGGAACTCACATTCTAGTGGGGAAACATGGAATTAAAAAGTAGATAAATTAATAAATAAAAATGTGAGTGTGGGAAATAAACACGGTAACATGAGAGAATTTGTCTGGATATATGGGGGCAGGAGGGGGCAGGTGCTACTGTGGATTGGTGGATCCAGAAAGTATCTCTGAAGAGATGATACTTGAACTGAGACAGGAAGAATTAAAAGGTACCAGGCAGGAAAAAGAAGCCTGGTGACATGATGGTTAAGTGCTCAGCTGTTAACTGAAAGGTTGGCGGTGTGAACCCACTCAGTGGCTCCGCGGGAAAAAAGACCTGGCGATCTGCTCCGGTAAAGATCACAGCCTTGGAAACCCTACAGGGCAGTTCTCATCTGTCCTATGGGGTCACTGTGAGTCAGAATGGACTCAACGGCACCTAACAGCCACAGGCAGGAAGAGAGCAAGCCTTTCTATTCCAGGAAGCAGGAATAGCATGTGCAAAGGCCCTGGGGTGGGAATGGGCTCAGCAGATTTGAGGCTGAGGAAGGCGTTGCTGTAGAGTAGTGAGAAAGGGGGGTAATGGAAGGAGGTCAGATTCGAGCCGTGGGCAGGGACCAGCTCATGCAGGCTGTATAGGCCATGCCAGAATGTAGATGTAATCCAACATAAATCAGGAGGCTAGTAAAGGGCGTTACTCTAGGAAGTGTTGAGCCTCTGTTTATAATTTTTAAAGGCTTCTTTCCTGTGCATTGTAGTACAGAAATGGCTATACAAGGGCAAGAGCAGAATTAGACACCCAGTTAAGGCACTTCCAGTGTTACCAGGGAAAGCTGATGGCCATTTGGCCTGGTGATGCTTACACAGATGACGAGAAGTGGAAGGTTCAAGACAGTAATCACAGCTCTATTCATTGAACACATTCCTTGATATACATTATCTCTTTTAATTACCGCAACAACCCTTCAGGGTAGGAATTCTTACCCCCACTTCACAGATGGGTAAGCCAGGGCTCAGAGAAGTTATCTTATTGATATGCAAATAACACCATGAGGTGTTTTCATAAGTGAGCTGTGCTCATTTTTTTTTTTATAGCAACGTATCCCTTGCAGAATATCATACAGTTTGTAAGAGGCAGGGAGTTCCTGGGTGGTACACACAGCTAATGTGCTTGGCTGCTAACCGAAAGGTTGGAGGTTTGAGTCCACACAGAGGCACCTCGTAAGAAAGGCCTGGCAATTTACTTCTGAAAAATCGGCCATTGAAAATACTGTGGAGCACAGTTCCACTCTGACACACATGGGGTCGCCTTGAGTTGCGGTCAACTCGATGGTCACCTGGTACTGGAGTTAGAGGCAGAGGAGTTGGTCCCAGTCTCCTTGACCCCAAATCCCACACCCGTCCCATTGTCAGGAGACTTCCAACGGTGGGGGTGGGGTGGGGGGAGGAGCCAAAGCTTTGCGGAAGATCAAACCAGGAAGACCCCTAAGCTGGGCATATCCCCCATGTTGCTTGGCTCTTCCTGATCCAGCCCGGGACCATCACAGCTTCTTTCAGTCCTGCAGGGTCCTCACCCTTGGTGGTGCCTTCTTTGTTCAGCTCTCTCTTCCTCCTTCCCCCTCAGGGTGCTTGGATTCTAACAGAAGGACTGCTGTTATCATATAAAAAGTCTGAAAAGAACTGTAAGGAAGCCCTTAGAACTCACAAAATCCAGACACTTTACAAAAGAAAATTTCACAGAACCATGGGGTCCTCTGGTGGCTCTCATGCTGCTGTGATGCTGGGAGCTGTGCCACCGGTATTTCAAATACCAGCAGGGTCACCCATGGTGGACAGGTTTCAGTGGAGCTTCCAGACTAAGACAACTAGGAAGAAAGGCCTGGCGATCTAGTTCTGAAAATGAGCCAATGAAAACCTTAGGATCAAAACAGAATAGTGTCCAATATAGTGCTGGAAGATGAGCCCCCTAGGTTGGAGGGCACTCAAAATTAACAGTGGCAGCAACAATGGACTCAAACCTACCAAAGATTGTGAAGACGGGGCAGGACCAGGAACGGTTTTGTTTTCTTGCGCATGAGGTGACCATGAGTAGGGGCTGACTCAACAGCAACGGACAACTCTAGAGACGAGATATTTGTTGTTGATGTAGATATGGGGCCTCAGGGTGAAGAACAGTCAGTGGTTGTCAAGGCCTCGGGTAGGGGTAGGGGTTCACCACAAGGGGGCAGAAGGGATTAGTTTTTTGTTTTGTTTTGTTTTTTTCAGTAATATTTTACTGTGTTTTCACGGAAAGTTTACACAGTAAATTAGGTTCCCATTTGACAATTTCTATACAGGCTGTTTAGTGACATTTGTTACATTTTTCACAATGTGTCAACGTTGTCTTTAATTGCATTCTGGTTGTTGCGTTTGGCACGAGGGAATTTTGAGGGGTGATTGAACCGTTGCACACCTTGATCATGGTGGTGGTTACACAGCTGTTTGTGTTGGTAAAAACTCATAGAACCGTACACTGGCAGGAGTGGGTTTTACCGTATGTACATTATACTTGACAAAAAGAATAAAATTATAAGAACAGTACCCAACTGACAGAGCTCATTTAACCACCCCAACCAAACCCCTTGCCATCGAGGCAATTCCAACTCATAGCAACCGTATAGGACAGAGTAGAACTGCCCCATAAGGTTTCCAAGGAGCAGCTGGTGGATTTGAACTACTGATCCTTTTGATTAGCAGCCGAGCACTTAACCACTGTGCCACCAGGGCACCTGTGAATAAGATATAGTTCCCGATTTACTACGGGGTTCCATTCAGATGACTTTGTCATAAGTCAGTTCTGATCTAAGTCAAATAGTTCAGATTAACAACTGATGCTAAGGTACAAAATGCTGAATAAGATCACACTGTAAGCCTCGTCTACAACGAAGTCAGCATCTGTGTTGTAACAATGAAGTCAGGTCTTTTTTTTTGTCCAATAATCAATTAAAAAACAAGGCAAAGGATTTCAAGTGGTTTTCCTTGGTTCTTGATGAGCTGACAGATGTTCCCAATACTAATCAATTGGTGTTTATTCGAGGAATCAATGCTGAGTTTGAGATCTTGTTTTGACGTGATGACCATGTAATGGTAATAATGGCTGTTGCACGCATGCACTGTTCAATTGTTGTATTTCGTTGGAGTTGAACATTGCCCAGCTTTCTATCCATTACGACTCCCAACGCCAACACCGACTTCACAGTAGAACAGGTCATAGCCTGCTATATGGCAGCGTCTTGAACAGTAAATCATAAAACTAAACATCTGTGAGTGAACATCTGAGAATGATAACATCAGCAAATTATGTGCTGCAACATTGTATATAGTACATATCACTAACAATGAGACATACCAAAAAAAAAAAAAAAAAGGATGGTTGTAAGTACCCATTACCCATTGCCATCAAGTCGATTCCAACTCACAGAGACCCTATAGGACAGAGTAGAACTGCTCCATAGGGTTTCTGAAGAGTTGCTGGTAGATTCGAAGTGCTGAGCTTTTGGTTAGCAGCCGAGCTCTTAACCACTGTGCCACCAGGGCTCGGTAAGTGCAGTAAGTTATAACTTGAATACAGTCGTTTAAGTCAGGGACTGCTTGTATTTATCTAGCACGTGGCACAGTTGTGTTTGTCGTTAGTCAGTTCTGACTCATGAAGACCTCATGTGCACAGAACAGGTTTTCAAGGCTGTGACCTTTCAAAAGCAGATTGCCAGCTCTGTCTTCCGAGGTGTCTCTGGGTGGGTTCCCATCACCAGCCTTTTGGTTAGTAGTCCAGCACTTCACTGTTTACGCCACCCGGGGACGACTCCTGGCTCAGAGGGAGTGCTAAACAAATGAGAGTGGTTGCTGATGATATTACAAATCTTCAGTAGGATGCAACTTCTTTGTATTTTTCTTCAGGGACCAAAGCAGATGTTGGACGCTGAAGTGCAAACAGACCCAGTATCCATCGGACCCATTGGCAAATCCAAGTAAACAAACCACCACAGTTCCCACCAAGTTCTCCTGCCATCAAGATGCCTTCTCCCTCTTCAACCTGTTCCCCAAACCCGCTCCATGTATATATTTTTGATTCTCTTGACCATCAAATGAAATTCTGCCTACCCATTAAGCCTGAGCTGTTGTATATTGAGGTGTATTATTTACGTCTCTGGTCCAGTCTTTCCTGGTAAATAACTGTAAAGAGGGTTCAGTACGTTCACTAGTTAGGTTAGAAGAGTTGATAGTTGTCAGGCCGGGGGAGGGAGGAGGTGAAGGAACGCATTCTAGTTAAGCGATGAAAAGTGGCAGTGACGGTAAGCTGCAGAATCCGTTTGGCTGCTAAGAGGAATGAAGCTTTGTAGTAAATACATGCTCATCCTCTGAGTTTGAAGAGGGAAAAATAAAATCAATTTAAGTTCGCGTTTCACAGGGGAAGAACACGGGCTGTGTATTGGGAGATTGCCAACTTCCGGGAATGGAATGTGTGGGGTGTGACAAAGGAATGAATAAGAGTGGTTTTTCAAATAGGGTCCTTGAATGTTGTTGATGAGAGGAGAATGATTGACTGGAGAGGGCTAGAAATAATTGGGGAAAACAATTGCTTTTTAAGGCTCGGTGACAAGGGCGGGGATTACAACTTCAAAAAAAAAAAAAGTAAATGAAGTTGCAAGTTTATTTTGCAACAGCAGGGGGTGCCAAGGCCTCCCTTTTGATCCCGCCTCCCGTATCACTAACAAAGATTTGGTCTTCTGCAATCTTACATTATTAATGTTTCTCAGATGGCTGAGGGGCTTGCTTCATCTGTTCTGTCTGACACTTATCTCAAGTCTGTCTGTAATTTCCTAATGCCCTCAGGATGTGCTCTGATAAAACCCTCCCCGTAACCCCAGTTAATAAAAAGTTACAGAAGATTATTCAAATACCTGAGTTTTTTTTTTTTTTTTTAATGCTTGTACAGAGGAGTAAATAAGACCATGAGCCTATTATAATGTAACTCAAAGTAGATAGGATGGACTGATAGTCATGTATACTGTGCCTTTCTTTTTCTGATCTAATAAAATATATCTATATATGCATTTACTTCTAAAGTATCTTTTAATTTCCCACTTTGAAAGCAGGCCTCTCCTACTCTATGTCTGGGATGCCCTTAAGGTCCACAGTATGAAATCCGTGCCCTTCTCATTTTATCTTCTCGCCCAAGCTGTCGTGGATCTCCCCGTATGGAGGCACATACACGTATAAATGTGGACACACACACACAAGCACACAGTAGGCGCTCACACATGCACATGTATGCAAGTGCTGTCTTTGCCTGGGTTGTGTAGGGCAGAGCCTGAGACAGGGATTCAGGGGCATGTGATATATTGAGGGAGGGCTCCCAGGAGAAAGGGAGAGAGCCAGGGAAACAGACGGTGCAGGGAAGGAGCTGAGCAAGCACTGGTCTCAGTTGGACTTGAGCTTCACCCTGATCCCCTGGGGCCTCTGAAGCATGACGGACACCACAGATTGGTTCCACCTTGAGGCAAGGGCACCAGCCCTTGTACCTTCTGTTAGTGAATCAAGGGGTCCCCTGGGAGGTGGGTGGAGTCTAACCTGGACAAGCTGCTCCCACTGAGCTCAGAAGCAGGGGACAGCTGGGCCCCTTAGCAGCCAACACCCCCAGAAGCTGCGAAGTGGGTGCATTGGCAGTGCCCACTACAGATACACACCTGTATATTCAGATATGTGTTTATACCCCTTTGGACATATGCACACATTCATGTTTATAAATACACATTATATGCAGGATCACATGCATGCACACACACACTCCTAGTCACACATGTGCAAAACATACATCTGTAACTGGCATGGATGCACACCCATGCAACCTATCACACATGGTATGAAATAAACATTGGATATACTCCTGACACGGGCATAGAGTACAGAGACCTGTCTGCATCTTAAGCAAATAAAACCATGGCTTTGGCAAAAAGGCATTTGGGAAATATGCTCAGAAAAATCTCTCTAAGAACTCAGATTTGGGGGGGGGTCACTTGCTGCTGGAGCCTGCTAGCTCTCAGCTGGGACTGGCTGAGTTTCAGATTTCGAGTAGTAAAGACTGGAGATCTTTTCCCTGGCAGCTGGCTTAGCTTCCTCAAACGTCTTGACCAAAACCTGGAGGTGACACCCTTTGGGGAGGCCTTGGCGGCTTTCCCTCCGCCATCACCATCTTACAGCATGGGCTATGAGTCAAGGAAACCAGACAGCTGGATACTCCTTTGTCTCCAAACACCACGGGAAGCGCCTGCGGCGAGCTTGGGTGAGCTCCTGGCCGCAGGAGAGGCCGAAAGGTGACAGTATCATTTGCAAGTCTCACCTCACTGGGCACAGGGACTTTTCGCCCTGGTAGGAAATGCCCCAGCCAGAAAGGGAAAGAAACAGGCTGAGCTTCTCTGGCCTTCTCACTGAGGCAGATAGAGTGCCCACCCTACCCCCGCACCCCACCCCAAACCAGGAGAAAAAAAACAGAGAGAGAAAGAGAGGTTCTTTGCTGAGAATCTCTCCGCAAAAAATGCGGACCGTTTCTGAAATGGGTTTCTTACCCTCCTGGGCCAAAGGAGAGAACATTTTTTTAATGAAATTGCTTGTTTGTTGTTTATTAAGGCAAGAACATTTAAGCTAGAGGGAACTAAGACTTACTTGGAAGATTCTAAAGGCAGTCGTAACCTAAGAAGCAAGTTAAAACTGTATTTTTGAGTTGAGAACCATTCCTGATGCATTTGCAATAAATACTAATTCCCCCGCCTAACGCTGACCAACCGAAACAGAGCAGAAACGCCTCTGGGAGCTCAGGAAAACCCCTCGGACAGGCACAGAGGGACCAAGTGCCTCAAAATGTGGAGCCCAGGATGCCGTTTGGACAGAAGAAACAAGGCGGGCAAGAGGCGAGGCAAAACTTGCACACAGCTAATCCCAAAATAACAAAAAAAAAGAAAGAAAAGAAAAAACCCTGAAAGAGAAAAAGAAATCAGACTTGGGGGGAGGGGGCAAAGGCAAAGATGCCTTTTGTTTTATTTTATTTACATATGTATTTATTTATTTTTAGGCGCACAGGGAACTTTTTCTTCTTCAACATCAAGAAGAAGTGGCCTTTCCAAGAATTGAACGAAGGAGCTGAAATGGCTGCCACAGCAGTAACAAACAAGCAAAAACTCGTGCTTTCCAACTGCTAGTGAGTTTTGGATTGATAACCCGTAACAGAATTCATTCAAAAGGGCAGTTGATTCCAGTGGCCGGACATGGGAGGTGCCCTACGAAATCAGCCTCCTGCAGGGCGGGGGCACACACCTAAGTAACTCCCAGAAAGGGAAGGAGAAGAGAAAGTGAAGTTTTTGTTTGACTCCTCTGCTCTTTAAACAAATTTTTAGAGGTTTAAACACACACACACACACACACACACACACACGCGCGCACACACACACATATGCACTCACGCATGCATGCACTCATGACACTAGTTGGATTGTCCTTGTTTGCAAACAGTCCAGAGGCCCTGGTTCCCATTAAATTAGACTCCAAGAGGCCAGAATCCATGTCCTGCTGGCTCCTTCCCAAAGTGCCTGGCAGGGACCAGATTTCCACAGCCTGGACCGTACAATGTCATTTTTTAGGTCAAATAGTCGCAAATTGATCTTATGCTTTAAAGAAATATAATCAGCTATATGAGCCACCTTAACAAGAAGGGAAGGAAAATGCCTTCAATTATTAACTCACCCAAGTTGCCAACGTGGTGGGGGTGGGGGAACCGGACGGGACGGGGTGTGGGGGTGGGGGGGACCCGGAGCGTACTTTGCAGAAATGTAAGATTACAGGGGTTGGTTTTAACCATCCTCCCAATGCCCCTCCTTAACCCTAAAAGGCAATTTGCACAGTGAGTAGAATTAGGCCCCTCTGTGGTCAAGATTCTGTTCACTCGGTCAGCGGAAATAAAGTGACACCAGCCCGCTGGAAATCACTGACTCCATTAGAAGGAAAGAAATTACTTACGGAGCAGCAAATTCTGTGAATTTGTAATGCAGATCTTCAGCTGCAGCCTGGATGCCTGTCAGGATCCAGCGCTTTGCATAAATTGGTTTTCTGGGGGAGTTTAACCCTTCTGTCTCTGTCTGCCTTTCCCAGAAAGCCCCTCACTTGGTCCCTCTGGTCCCCTGGTCCTTAAAGTGGCCACAGCAGAAACAGCAATCCATCCAATTTCATGGAAGTGAGGATAATAATAATAATAATAATGCCTTACATTATCACACTTTACAGTTTATAAAATGCTTTCTGAATACTTTATCTAATTTAAATCTGTATATCTTACCCCTAACCGATCTAAATTGCCTCACTGTAGCATCTCATTAAGTGGAGAACTGAATGCTCTTGGATGGCTTTCTTTTTTCAAATGAGCTCTTCTCCACAAAATGGCCCTAGCTCCGCTGCTGTTCATGATTGCCTTGAGTGAGCTCTTTCAAGATTTACACTCATTGAAGCATGGTTTAGTTTAAATCTGACCACATGGGGGCGTTCCAGGACCTGGGGTTCTACAATTTCTGTTGTGTACTGTCCAGTTGATTCCGACTCATAGTGATCATATAGGACAGAGTAGAACTGCCCCATAGGGCTTGCTAGGCTATAATCTTTACAGGAACAGATTGTCAGGTCTTTTCTCTCAAGCAGCCACTGGGTGGGTTCGAACCACTGACCTTCAAATTAGCAGCTCAGTGCTTAACCACTGCGCCACCGGGGCTCCTCTGCAATCTCTAACCCGTTGCTGTTGAGTCAATTCCAACTCACAGCAACCCTACAGGACAGAGCAGAACTGCCCCATGGGGTTTTCAAGGAGTAGCTGGTGAATTCGAACTGCCGACCTTTTGGTTAGCAGTGGAGCTCTTAACCACAGGCCCTCTTCTCTGGTTGCCTAACCAGGAGGCTGGGACAAAGCAGCGTATTAGGAGTGTGTTTGTTCATTAACTTCTAGAAAGTGATTGAAGTTTAATAAAGAGAACTAGAACAAGAAGGCAAAACTGGGCAAGTCAGTTGCCTTCTATGATTCCTGACCCCCCAAACCAAGATAGGGTGGGTTTGCTTTTCCCTTTTTATCTGCTCCATCTTGGAAGAAGCTCAAGGAAGGATGATGTGACTGCAAAAACATTTACGTTGGTGCCATTGCAAAACATTTAAGTCATCGTCACTGGTCCCTCACGCTCCACAAGCAGCTTACCTCTCACCGTTTCCACACCCACCTGGAGGGCAAATGACAGAACCTGTCAGTTTCCTCCCTATACAATGGGATAATAACAGCACCTGCTCCATGCAGTTACTCTGAGCATGGAGTGAGACAGTGAAGGCCAAACACTTAGTATAGTAGCTGGCACACGACAAGCACTTAAGAAGCCCGGGTGGTACAGTGGTTAAAGCACTTGGCCACTAACTGAAACGTCCGCGGGAGAAAGGTGTGACAGTCTGCTTAAGTAAAGAGTACAGCCTTGGAAACTCTATGGGGAAGTTGCCAGTCTGTCCTACAGAGTCACTGGGAGTTGGAACCAACTCTATGGTAA